AAAGTGCAGCCAGCTGCTCCTGGTTCCCTCTTTCACAAACAGAGAGAGTACCAAGACTCTTTTTCAACAGATTAATCACAAAGACATATTTCAGAAAACCTCCAATTACTGTGACAGGTTTTCATTAGCATCGTGTTTTTTCACAAACAGCTGCACATGCAAGAAAGGAAAATATTGTTATTGTCTTTTCGCAGATAAAAGATGAAACTTAATTTCTATGAGAAACAAAACAATAAAGAAGAGGTTCTTAATTTATTATGTTTAAGTCCTTGCTGGTTGGAAGATATTTATTTAGCAAAATTTCAAACTGGAGCTTATAATATCTGGTGTTTTTTTTGATTAGGTGTTATAAGTACACTGCACATTGATGTGATGCAATGTGAGTGACTGTAATGATGTGAAAACATCTACTTTTTAGAAAACCTTCTAAAAAAATGAAGATATAATTAAGTGTGTTTACATAATAACTAAAGAAAATAAAAAATACATATGTATTTTAAAATTATGTATCAACAAATCCTCTGAATTTGTCTGAATGCCAATAATAACTGTTGTGGCAATTTATGGCATATACTCAGAAATGTTTTAAATGGTAACCTCCATAATGCAAGTTTTATGGAATAAAGTTATGTTTCCTATTTTATTTGGAAAGACCTTGTTAATTTGGTACATTTCAAGGGACCAAAAACAAAAAACAAATGTGAAAAAAAGAAAAATTCAAAATTTGAAAAAAAGTTTGAAACTGGAGTGAAGGACATAAAAAGTTAAAAGAACACAGAGTTATTTTGACTAAGAGTAAGACTAAGAGAAGTGACCCCACAAACTACTGTCTGATCAAATGACATGCTATTTTGTCAGGATTGGGTTGAGGTTTGTGGACCCAAATGCAGAGGCAGAGGTGAGTTTTTGTAGATTTAATGCAAGGTAAACAAACAACTGAGGCAGGAATCCAAAAATCCAAAAAATCCAACAAGAAAAAAGTTAAACAAACCAGAAACCAAGGGGAAATCTGGGGAAAACAATCATGACGAGGTAAGACACTGGAAGACTGTGTAGGTCGAACTTTGACGAGAAACCAGTACTGAGGAGCTGCATAAGTATTTATGGGAGACTGAAACAAAGAGAGGGCTAACGAGCAGATTGGGTGCAGGTGTGAACAGAGCAGAACAGGAAAGCAGCTAAGGAAAAGGAGAACACAAGAGGGCAACAAATAAGAACCTGAAAACTGAATAATAACCAGAGAACACAACAAAATAAGAATTAAACCACTAAAACTAGAAAACATGGAGCAAAGTAAAACTGAAAACTCAAAAGAAAACATAGCAGTACCAGAACTGTGACACTATTAATGTAAATATTAAAGAAATTTTTAAATGTGTACAGTTATATTGTGTTTATGTTTTGTTTATATGACTGTTTGTCATGCATATGCTGTTGCATCTAATAAAATTATGGGTCTAAAATGCTGTGCTTCTCATCTCTGCCCTAAAATCGGGTTTATGTAGAGATTTTTCATTGTTTTAGCCAAAAGATACTTTGTTTCTTTAAATGCATTTAAAGAAACAATCTCAGTTATGTTGCATAATCTTCATCTCCATCTCTGCTAATAGTCCAGCTTTGTAATCATCATTTGAATCACTTACATGTCTGGCATCAGAGGTTAGCTTTTTGAACTCCTCTCGCAGTTCCATCTCTGTCATGTTGGAAGCTTTTCTGCTCAGGAAGTTTGCTTGCTTGGTGAAGGAAGATTTTGCCATGGTGCGATCCAACTTCAATTGTTTCAGTGACTTTCCAAACATTTCTTCAGCCATTGTGGATTGTACAGATGAGATGACCTGATGTCCTCCTTGAGTTGATTTGTCGAAGCCCTTTTGTCAGGACTTCACCTTCATCAGGTCTTCAGTTGGTTTCCAACTGGTTTTCAACTGTCAAGTTTTTGGCCTCTACAAACCACCTTGCCTTCTGCCCAAACTTGAAAAGGGCTTGCTTCCATCAAAGAGACCCAGGACCAACTCATCTCAGTGTCAGCTTTTTTTTTCTCTTTTCTCTTTTTTTTCTTTAAATCACTTCACTTTCAAAAACATGACAACCAAGCAGGTTGAAAACAAAACAAACAAACAAAACACAATGAATTAATAAGTTTCCAGTCAATGTTTTTTACTTTTAAGTTATCAATAAATAAGCAAAATAAAGTTAATTCCAAACGCATAAATCCATCTTTGTAAAGCCTGCTAGGTAGTGATGGGCTATCTGAAGCCAGGCTTCGAGGCTTGTACCGAGTAATAAGGGGGCGTGTCAATGAAGCCCCGCTTCGAGGCCTGTGTTGTCTTGTTGAAAACCACGTGACTGGCAACAAACGAGGCCTCGCATTGCATTGGTCACGTGACTGCTTCATTTTGCGTGTCGGTTTCCAAAATAAAAGCGCGATGAATCCTGTTTCTTCGTGGGTTGTAGTAGGTGGTTTGGTATCAGCAGAACAGTTTTCATCAGTAGTGGTTGTAATGGAGCCGTCAAAAAAGAGAAAAACCTCTCATATGTGGGAGTATTATGAGATGACAGATCACAATCACAACCTGAAACAGTGAAAAAAGTCCTATTCCTAAATAAAAACAATTAAACCTAAATTCCGTAAAAATTCAAAAAATATCAACTGGACTTGGTTTTCAAGATTTGAAGACGTTTCGCCACCTCTCCAGGAAGCTTTCTCAATTCAAATGTCTGGATCCGCAGTGAGTTTGAGTCTTATATAGACAACGCCTTGTATCGCTTGGAAACATGCAATAGAAACCGATGAATGGGTCGTTAGTTCCATCGTTAGCCTGTAATATCTGAAACTGTCTATGATTCTAGGGGTCGGTCGTTAAAGGGGGGATTGTCATTAAGGGGGGGATTGTCTCCTGTAATACCTGAAACCTGTCTATGATTGTTAAGGGTTGGTCGTTAAGGAGGTATTGTTCACCTCCCCCCCTTAATGACAATCCCCCCTTTAACGACCGACCCCTAGAATCATAGACAGTTTCAGATATTACAGGCTAACGATGGAACTAACGACCCATTCATCGGTTTCTATTGCATGTTTCCAAGCGATACAAGGCGTTGTCTATATAAGACTCAAACTCACTGCGGATCCAGACATTTGAATTGAGAAAGCTTCCTGGAGAGGTGGCGAAACGTCTTCAAATCTTGAAAACCAAGTCCAGTGGATATTTTTTGAATTTTTACGGAATGACTATGACCTGGATGACTGAGAACCTTCATCAGCAAATTAAACCTAAAATCCAGAAATTTCTATATTTTCTTTTGTTTAATCAGGAGATGCATCAGAATCACATCAAAACCAGACTAAAAGCCATTAGAAGAGGCAAACTCTATGTGTAACTTAATATTAAGAATCAGAACTAGAACTCCTAGGAAGAGATGATTTTAAACAAATTCTGTCTTTAAGGAAGCAAGTTTCAAGCTCAAAGTACACAGAGTCTGCAGCAACAGTCACTCCGTTCTCAATACATTAAAGTAACACATATCTTCATTGTCTAATAAGTCCATGACATAAAAGAAAACCCAACACCACCACTGATGGTCAAGGATTAGATTGGCTACAAATCATTTTAATCATTAAAACATGACAATTGAATAGGATTCTCCTCTTACTAAACATGAGTTTGATGAAAACTTTGTGACAATATTGCATTTCCTAATATTTGGAAGTGAGTAACAAGGCTGTTACAGTTTCACCAGCAGATGTCACTAGTGAGTGATGAATGAAGCATCGAGTAATGAACTTTTTTCAACACTTTGCGTTGTAAGCTTCATTGCTTCATGAGGCTTCACTTGCCCATCACTACTGCTAGGTCCTCTGAATGCAGGTTTAATGTTTTAAAGTTCATTTCCTACCAGTGGTGTCTCTGCAGGAGCTTGAAGATGAGGTCTTTGTCTGTAGAGATTGCCCAGAACACAGGTGTGTTGAGTTACCTTATAGGCTCCTGAAGGCCTGAGTGAGAGAGATGGGTGCGCTTGATTTCTGTGAGGCGCGTACCAGTTGGGTGGAGATGGTATTGCACTCACACCAATACACCATTTGCTGTTTTAACTTGACACTGACCTACCTCTGATCAAAAAATATTGTTTTTATTTCTCTAAGATTCTATCTTTAACTAGAGTTTTTTTTTGACGTATTTGATGCAGACTTACGTAATAGATATTTGCAGATTTGCTTATGTTCTTTCTGAGCAACATCCCTGCAGAAGTATACAGAGCTAGAAAGCATCAGGCGATGAATATTTTCCTCACAAAAAACAGTGGATATGTTGCACCATATGCTACTTGTGAGGTGTCAGGTATCAGGACCCTGCTGACGTGTGATATGGGGGCAAGACACGATCGATAGGCTGTGTGCTGACAGACAAAAGAACTGCATGGACACAATCTAACAAAGCTTTGGTTATAATTACTGCAAAAAAGTTATCATTCATCTCTCTATAAATCTATATACAGATATTTGTATGCATATCAATTCGTATATTATTATGCATTTAGCCAGTTCATCTGGCTAAATACAGATGCAGATATCAACCTTCATTTGATATCAAAACTAGTGAAGATGTGTGGTATTGTGTGTACTATTTTAAACTTACAGTATGTATATTTATCCATACTTAAAATTGAGCATGAAAGAATCAGAATACTGAGCCAAGTTGCACACATTTAGTCTAGAACACAGTGTAGGATGTTTGTAAGCACATGTAGGTTGCTGGATTTAAAAATACTACCAAAGCTGTGGTCGTTCAGCCTCCTTTGATTGGAGATAGAGAGAGTGTTTCTTTGTCATCCTTTGTCATCCTGAGTCTGCCATCTGTGCAGAGGATGCTGCAGAACAGCCAAGAGCTCAAACAGCCAATACAGAAAGAGAGGATGTTGAAGAGAGGGCGGGGCTTTGTGTGAAGAGGAGCATAGCGCAGCGAATGATTGCGAAGGAGAGGAAAAGAGGTGTTCCTTGCTCAAAATGCCCTTGCCTGAGCGCTGAGCTTGGAGAGGCAAAGAGAAAGGAGAGGGCTGCTGGAAGGTGATGAAGACTGGAAGATTGGATAAGTGTTCAGATTAAAAATAGAAAGCTCATTAGATTGAGGTGTGGGTTAGATAGATAAAATAAAGAGAAACTAACAAAAATATTCTGTTTTTTCTTTGGGAAAAAGCTGGAAGCCACTTCTTTTTTAATTATTTTCCCAGTCTGTTTTTTCCCCCCCATCTGTACGGATTCTCCTCCTCTTCGTCTTCTTTTTCTTCTTCTTGCTCTCCTCTCCGACAGACAGTACCACCATGGAAACTGGGAGCCCCAGAAAGATTCAGTTTACCGTCCCCCTGCTGGACACCCACCTGGACCCAGAGGCAGCAGAACAAGTAAGGTGGAAGGCAACGGGAAGGATAAAAAGAGAAAAAAGGGGCAAGAACAGTGTTGGTCAGTCAGGACCCTGAATCTTTTTCTGTGTGCATCATTGTTATTGGAAAAGCAATTAGCACTTTTTGTATGCAGATATATTTTTCCCTTTAAATATTCCAAGAGGAAATTATCAGACTGTTGGCTGTAAATTAACAAGGACACATTTATTCTGAGCTGTTTAGCAGAGTGTGTCTCAATTCAAATGCTGCATGGTTTTCAAAGAAACCTCAATTAAGACTACATTTGATATTATGAGTATGGAGTATGTTCTCAATGCAGAGCAGTAATAAAGTCATTAATTTACAATTAATATTTCCTATATTGACTCAAGGATTTACAGATTTATTGAAGCACCTGGGATCCCAGAATTATTTAGTTTTGTTAGACCTAAATAAGTCTCCATTAGTTCATTTAGTGAATTTATTTGGAATTTTACTGACTTTGTTTAACCTCCGAAATATTGACCGTTTATATGTTGCATCAAAGGTTAAACAAAATAAATCACTATATCTCTTCTAATGATAAAATGAAATCTGAGTTAATAGAAAACTAAATCAATTTTTATATTTTAGTTGTTATGGGGAGATGCTAGAAATCTGGACTTGTGATATAGGAGCATAAAGGTTAGTCAAAGACAAATCCCAGTGCATGCAGTTCTTGCGCCTGTGGAGAATACCGTGTGAAAGGATGTCACGTTTTCTCCTTTTTTTATAAATATAAAATAAACAGTAATGGCCATTCATAATGAAAGAGCCTTGAGTACAGCTGACAAAGCTTTAGGAATCTGCCTACATCCCATTTGCCCCTTATCTACTTTTTTCCTGTCTATTTCTACTTTTCACTATTTTCATATCTCTGACTGAGAAACATGTGGATAATCAGGGATTTTTTCAATGCATAAAAGGAATATTGTGAAAAACATGAAGTTTTCAATTTTTTTAGAGGTTAAAAGGTATATATTATAAATATTCATCACATCTACAGTGGGATATTCTAATTGTGACAATTATTGTCTATAGATAATAAAAACCAAAACTTAATTGTCTCAGAAAGTTTGATTACACAGAAGTGAAATACAGGAAACTCGTGGTGTCACACTCTAATCAACTAATAAACTCAAAATAGCTACAGAGGCTTCCTGAGCCTTCAGATGGTCTCTTGTCCTGGTTCAGTAGGCTACTGTACACGATCAAGGGAAGGACTGCTGACTGAGAGTCCGTGTTTCAGTGATGGTTGTGCCGGTAATGTTTCATTGTTATCTGTCTGCAGTCAACTCTCTTAAAAGTACCCTTCAGGGCACCTTATGCTTTTTAGAGATAGGGATTTTATTTTACAGCAGGACATGATACTGGCCCATACTGCAAAAAGTAGCCAAAACTGGCTCTATGTTTATGGTTTTATTTTAATCAATTGGCCAGCAAACTATTTTGGAAAAGCATTGCTTTCAGAAGCTAAAAATATCTTTTTTAAATATTATTATTCATTTTTTTTTTTTTGCCTGTAATATAAGATACCAGGCATGTTGAACATCTCCTTTGTATTTTAATGGATCTTATTTTAAAAAGACACATTAGTCTTTGAAAACTCATTTGCCCCTTACAGTTTTAATCTGTTGTAAATTTAAGTTGGAACTGAAAAAAAAAATTATTTTACACGCTTAGTTCCAAATTGCTTTATTGTTAAATTCAGCCATAGTGGAGAAGTTCAGAGCAAAAATTACAATTTAATGTTAACATACAGCAATCTTGCATTTATCTTTTTAGTTTGTTAGAGATATTCACTACTTTCAGCCTTTTCACACGTACACACCGTACACAACATAAAAACCTTTATAAACATTATGCAATGGGGGGAAAAGGTCTTGTGTATGCTTAAATGATGACTTGCAGAGGGCTGGCTTTAAAAAAATCCAAAATATCTGTCATGATTAAAGAAAAAAAAAACTAATATAAGATAAATATAAGATAAACATACAGATAAATACGATAAATACTGAAGTAAACTGCCAAATTTATACAAGATATAGAGAGTATTATAACTTATGTAACTATTCAACAATCAGTTGTTGAATTGCAGTCAAGGACCAAACAAATGCTAAATGGCCTGTGATTATTTGGTGCCTTTGCAAGTCAGGGAGCTCCAATGCATTTTGTACCATGCATTGATGGTGGCAAGCTTAAATGTAGCCGCAGCTGATGTGGGGCACAATGAGAGAACCAAGGCTGGCATGCAGAAGCACCACTGGACCTGACCACCATCAGTGGCAAGTGAGGTAAAGTGCCTTGGATGCCTGAGACGGAAAGAGCTGGGGTTCATCTTGACAAACCTCCAGCTGCAGGATGAAGCCCTGCATACTATGTTATTTATACTCGGAGCAACGGTGGCGCAGTGGTAAGCGCGCATGAACCATGTATGGAGGCTTTAGTCCTTGACGTGGGGAATTAGATTTGAATCCGACCAGTAGTCTTTAAATTGTGGGGAGTGCTGGAGTGTTGCAAGTACCCGGTTCAATCCACACAGCCTAAGCAAGACCCTTAACCCCACACTGCTTCCAGGATGCCACACAATGGCAGCCCACTGCTCCCAAAGGAATGGGTTAAATGCAGAGAATGAATTTCCCCATTGTGAGACGATAAAGGAATTTACAATACAATACTCTTCCAAGGGCCACAAGTGGCCGAAAGGCCTGACTTTTTAACAACCCTTGTTTGCATCAATGCATATTCCCCTTTTACAATTGCATAGACTGGGAACCTTCAATTCTAGTCCTGGAGGCCTGGGCCCTGTATGTTTTACATTTATCTTGTGTCAACACACCTGAGTTAAAAAATCAGGACATTAATACGACTCGGCCATTTAATGCAAAGACACATCTTAAACATGCAGGACCCTGGAACTCATGGACAGGAATTTGTGGCCTAGACAATATCCAGATTTAACTGCAGGCAATCTCTGGCAATACTTGCCAGAGATGCTGTTCATAGATGTTTTCCATACAATCTAATTAAGTTATTTTGAAAGGAAAAATTGACATGACCATCTTCTCAAAGACAGATAATAGAAACATACCCCATCAAGCTTGCTTTTGTAATGACTGTATATTTAATCAAAGAACCCCATGTAACCTTGTTCATTATTGTATTTGGTAGAATGCCTTAGAATATGAGTGTTTTTGATTTCACTGCACTGTTGCACACAATTTTTTTTGGTCTGCAATAAAAATCAGATTTTAAAGGGAAAATGTTCAGTAGGTATGCAGATTATATTGCAAGTCAGAGCACATGGTGTAGATGGAATTTTATTTGAAACACATCTGATCCTTTGAGGTAACTGTTTAACATAAGAACTCAAGATTACTTAAAACCTCATGTTTATATATTTGTATTCAACAATACATATTTCCTTTTAGTTGTATGCTAAAAACCTACTGCGTTGCTGCTCTGCAAAACTCATAAAGGTTTCAGTTTGCAACATCAATAAGTATGAGGAAACCTTTCAAGATGGCCAGTGGGAATCTTTCCTGTCAGAAGGCAATTTTTTATTTTATTTTTTTTTGCATCACTATAAGCAAATCACCCTCCAAGCTGGTTCTCAAGTGACTTTGTATTTTTATTATAAATGTCTCTGTGACCAGAAAGCCTGGCAGGCATTTAAGAGTAGATACATAAACAGAGAAGAACCTCTGAATGTAAAAAGATTATGCTTATAAATTTGTACACAGGCCTCTGTAGAAAACTGTGGTGTCACTCAGGAAACCTCTGTGTGTCCATAAAAGATAGCAGCAAAAAAAACCTTATCTTTTTACCCTAACTCCAATACACCAACATTGTATATAAATTCAATGTATATTTAAAGGCACAGACTGAGTTATACTTATATGATGTCAGTGTTGGCTGAAAAGATTTGCTTTGTTACTCAATCAAGATTATTTATAGCTCATAAATAATATTGCAATGAACAAGCCACCTGTCAAAACTGTGAACTTATCTCAAAATGTAAGTTAACCAGGGAAATTACGTTTTACCCATAGACTGCTTAGTGGTATTAGAAGGATGTATGTATGTATGTATGTATGTATGTATGTATGTATGTATGTATGTATGTATGTATGTATGTATGTATGTATGTATGTATGTATGTATGTATGTATGTATGTATGTATGTATGTATGTATGTATGTATGTATGTATGGATGCATGGATGGATGGATGGATGGATGGATGATCCATCATCAATTCCTAGATTGCATTTATGCAGAAAATGTCAATTCTTTGTTCTTTAGCTATTTAATTAGCAATTTTTCTTTTTGGCTGTGACATTTTGTTGAAGGGTGGTTGCAGCTGTAAAGGTATAATGTCCTGTGTTGATTTGTGAAAGTATTAATCAGAAAAAAATGTAGCTGCCATGTTTGCAGTAATATTATAAACTAATTAAATTATTGTAATAACTGTTCAGCAGTTTAGCAACCTTTTGGCCAATATCAGCAAAAACAAAACTCTGAACCAATTACTCTGTCAATGAGCAGATTTGGTGTCTATCAAAACTGATCGGACTTTATATTTTCTCAACTTACATCCATAAGTAAAAGTTTTACCTTTTTTTCCGAAAAAGCTCAAATGTTTTGCGACTGCTTAGAGATCAAACGTGAACATCAAAATTCAAGACTTTCAGGAGATTTTCAGTTTGGTTACAAAAACATAAAAATGCTAGCGCTTGCTAATGTTAACGGTTGCTATCCTGCTGTCTCTTCTGTAGCCTTTATTTGCAAGGCTGACCTTTCTTAGACTTTCCCCATTAGTCCTGATGCTGCTTCACCCACATTTTAAAACAGTCTGTCCAGAGTGAATTGGACGGGATTTTTTTTTTTTGGGGTACAAAAGAGTTAAATTTGCTTTTTTTCAGATCATAGGACTTTTTATACTCATGTTTGCTGTGTCTCCTTCATGGCTTTTTACCGCTC